CACGCTCTCTCTGGCCTCTGGTCTTTCCATGTTTTGACTGTCAACAAGGCTAATTAAATAAGGAGCATGGCTGAAAGAACAAGGATCCATTCACATGCTGCTAAAATAAGTTTCTACCTTAGGGTGGTTGGTTATAGATATTGTGAAAAGCTGTTTCATCAGCCAGAAGTTCAAAATGGAATTACTGCATCTAAAGACATCAGCTGAGTTGGTTTGGATATCTTATCAGTTTGTTCTTTTTTTTCCGTTGTCATTTGTCATTTTTTTGTCATATCCAACTGGTATTCATCTTGGTAGAAGTAGAACTCAATAAAATTACTCTCTTCCTTATACTAAGAAAATTGGTTCAGAAAAACTGAAATAGGTTCAGTGTTTGGCCTGGTTAATACCAATGACCCAATTGTATAACAAATGGGATGGGCTGGGATTTTGTTTAGTCTTTTGGCTCGCCACTTTTTTCCATGTAACCAAAAAATAGGACCTGAAGTGTTCTTTCCATACCAGCTTTTGACCAGTCCTTTCCACAACACACACAGCCAAATCCTGGAATCCTGAACCTGCCTCAACTCCCTTTGGACACATTGAACCCTGGATCTGCCTGTTCCAGTTCTGATCGGAACCCCTGACTGGGCTACGGACTCATGGATCTCAGAACTGCCCTGTTCTGATCTGTTTCCCTGGACTGGCTCTGACTCCTGCCTGTTCATTGGAGGCTGTCGCATCGGGGACACTCTTGAATAACAGTTTAATAACACTGCAGCAAAGAATAACTCCTCCTTATTATGTCTTTGGATAGCATGAAGTAACAGTGGGTTTTTATATTCATAGTCTGTCACTGAGTTTAAACAATGTGGTAGGATCGTTAACAGGTTGCCAGTTTTTTTTTTTTTTTATTATGTAATATACCTTTTCCCCAAATGTAATCACTATTTGGCAGATCAGTCAGACATCTCCCCATTCAAAATGCTCTGCTTTCTTTGAACAAGCAGTTATGAATGCCTTTGGCCTAGACAGAAAAAAACAACAACTAAAAGCCCCCCAAACAACAAGGAACCTTGGAAAACATGTTGAAACAAGAGCTGACTGCTCTGTCATGATTCTGATAGGCTCTGACTCAATTATTTTACTGTATATAACTAAATTCCTGAAACACTGTCTTCTTTCCTTTCATTTTAAGAATACATTTTAACTTTTTTTGTTGTTGTTGTATAGTTATTATTTCTCTTAACAGTTCTCTTAATTTTCTTCAACCATGAGTTAAACTGAAAGTGTCTGAGTTTTCAGAGATTCACAAGTCAACTTTTAGTTTTTTTGGTGTTAGTGTTTTGGAGCTCGCATCTGATTACAAAATTTAACTCTCCTTGTACAACATGTCTCTTTTCAAAACCATTGGCTTGTAGCTGGACAGCTGCAAATGCTTTTGAATCCATTTTTTATTTGATCGAGTTTTCATGCAAGTTTTGCATGAAGCCCACGTCTCTGCATTGCAAATGTTTTTATTGAGTTAATGCAGTGTTTTAATTAAAAGTGCTACATTTTCACTTTACAGCTGAAATCTGCAAAGATCTGATTGTTATCAGATAAAAAAGAATTGAAAAAAAAAAAATCATTGGGTTTGTAATGAATCTGTAATGTGTTTTCCGTGATGAAATTAACTTACTGTTATACAGTACTTTTTTAATAGTATTCCAGTTTATTGAATAATACTAGATTGTTGTGGGTAGTATCTTTCTATACAGTATATGTGTATTATTAAACAGAGGGTTTTTGTTTAGTACTGTCTTGGAAGCTGCAATTCTTCTTTAGTTAGGCCAGTGCTGTAGGTTGTCTCATTTAAGGTCTGAAACCTTCTATATCTAGGTAGTCTATCTCTTGGTAAGTTTAAAACCTGGTCATCCTTAATTTGTCTTTGCAGTTTAGAGTAAGAGTTGACCAAGTGTTAATATGTTACAAGTTGTGAGTGAGAATATGTTCTGTGGCAACTATCTTTAACTTACTCTCTGCTGTGTATTTTTCTTCTGTGCTCGCACTGGTGGATTCAACCATACGTTTCTCCAGTATGTTTAAAACACAAATACCACACATTCCAATGAGTGATTTTCCTTTGGGAACCCAATTGAGTCAGCCCTTTACAGAGAACAATGCATTCCACAGAATTCTCAGTGCAAGTTGAGTTGCAGGACTTATAAATATATATTTTTCTGAGTCTTCATAAATTGAACACTGCTATCAAGCTCAAGTCTACCTTACCATAGACTAAATCAGTTAAATCTTTTTTTTAATTGATAAATTATGTAACATAATTTTTACCTAAAGTTTCATATTCTCCAAAATGGGACAGTACACATATGTTGATTAAAAGGATTTGAACTACTCGGTTAAAGACTCAGGTTCGTCATCCAGCAACACTGGGATCAATTATACTGGACAACAAACGGTAGCGGGCAGTTTTAGCCATCAAATATTCTTTATTTATTAAAACAGAACAGATCAAACATTCTCCTTTCTTCTTTGTTTACAGTTCCCAATTCCCAAAAAATTAAAGCTAGGATGCAGAGATTCAAGTTTTACGAGAAGCTAAGCTTTTACATGTATTTTTTAGAACCAAATAGGAGAAAACAGGGTGTTTCACTTGTCATCTCACTTACTGTCTATTTCCCACAAATTGAGGGCTCTCACTCAGCAAATCCCTGCTGTGTTGATATCAGTGTAATCTGTTTTTCTATGGGTCTAATTCACACCAAATGTGGACTATTCCTTTATCTTCCCATTTCTCAATGCAGCTGCAGTTTAACCAAGAAATAAATGTTCTCCATTATACCCCCCTAGAGAGGGCATATTCCCTGGAAGTCTGTGAAGTCGAGAGGAAAACATGTCCTATAATTTTTCTCAAACATCTGTACAATATAGCAGGTTTCTGTGAAAGTAGTTTAAATATGAACATAGACATAGATCAAAAGTTATGAATGTTATGCAGTTTTAGAAAAATAATTTGATGTGTTACATACATTTGCTTTAATCGCCTACATTTGAAAATGACCTTCAATAACATTCACATCAAGTTAAGTCTAATTGGATCAGAAAGGCCTCTATTTCAAACCGCTGCCACAGATACCTAATTGGAGTTTGGTCTGGACTTTAACAGGAAAATTCTGCTGTACTGTATGTTAAAGATAATTGTCCAGCCTTGCCAAAATAATACAGAAATTCATTATGTCAGACAGATCAAAAATCTGTTTTATATCTGAACAGTAACTGGTATGCAAAAAGGAAAAAACACCAAGAAAAAAAAACAAACATGATTTCAATTTGCAAGTTGATACCTGGCAAAACAAAAGCCTATAGGTGTAAGCAAAATAAACATTGATAATTGTTTTGCAAATTCCAACATCTTCTCTTTGTAGGGCAATATTACTTATATGCCCTAAATGGCTAGAGAAAAGAGGATCCAGATACAAAGACCATATTTCAGGTGAATGTAACATCACATTTCTGGTTTAAGAAACTTTCTATATGACAGAAGAATATATGTTTGGAAGTATTTATAACTTAAAAGCTGTATTAAATTCTGCTTTTGTTCTGAAGATGATACAGACAAAAAATATCTTCAAGTACCAGTTGAGCTTGCTTTTGAATTAACATTTAGTAGTAGTGTTTAAAAGAAATATTTTTAGCAAGCAAGTTGGACTCTGGCAGTTTGAGATTAGCAAGGCAAGGGACATACATATTGCAATTAATTAAGATTTAGGGCGTAATATTATTTAAAATAAATGTTGGGCTATTATGGATTCCAAAGTAAATTTATCAATCAATTATTATAATCCATAAAAGATACTATGGCAAGATAGTTAATGATGGAACTGTAATGACAATGCTGCCCAACTTAGTATTGTCTGACCTTTAGTGTTTGCTTTTAGGACTGAAGCCATTCTAAATTTAAAAACGTGGAATAAACTATCTAAACCTAAATCACCAAAACTGCGTTTGTTGGGAAATTAACCTCTAATGCCCACTTAACTGACTAAAGAAACAAAAGGTGTTCTGGTTGCTGGATGTATTTTGGGTGCAGACTTATTCTGAGGAACTGATTTAGTCCCCACAGGTCTCAGATGACTGGATAACTAGACCCATGATGAGACTGCTTAATCTAAATATGCTAATTGCTAAAATAAACAATGTCCAGGATAAAGGAAATAAATGTGGACTAGAGTCCTCACTGTTATTTACTTGTCATGTGCCACTTTTTTACTATATAGAAAATGATGCTGTTATTTTGGGGTTCCTCTCTTTATGTTTGAATGAGATCAGAACATTTGATAAAGAAAAATTGAAAAAAAGAGGTAAAAGATTTGGAGTCTATCTATTTATCTATCTATGAATCAGGGTAACTGCATTGTGGGTCTTAAAGGCTTTTGTCGGAACCTTTATCTGCTTGACCCATCTGACCCAGCCAAACCATGCATGGATGGATGAGAGATAAATTATGCTTTTATACTAAAGCATGGTGTTGGTGGACACATCCTGTGGTGCTGTTTTACGGCCAATGATAACTGTGTGCTGTGGATAGGATGGATAAAAAAGTTAGATGATAATAAAGTGAGATTCAAATTCAGCAACTTAAGCTCAAAACAAAATTAGTTTAAATTGTTGACACTGCAGGTTCTCAGCATCACAATGGCTACAAAAATGCATGAAAACTTTTAAATAGCTTTCTAAAACAATTTAAATATGGGAAATGAGCTTAAAAGTAATGTCATTTACTGTAAGCTAACATTAGATGTGAATAATATAATACCATGTTTATAGTACCATATTCATCTTACTCAAAATTAGCAATAAACTGATTTTGGTAAACAATTTATGTTGCTCTTCCTCCAGTTCTTTTTGCTTATCGTCATATTTGCATTTTTGAGTGAAACATTCCTTTGGCGTTGTAATTCTTTTTGAGGATCTGATGCATTTTAATCCCCCAAAAAGAAAATCAAAAGAACTACAAAAAATAGTTTTAACCAATTTATTGAGGTGGTTTTACATACTACTTGCACAATTTAAGTCAAGCTCGGTTTCAATACATTTCAAGGACTAAACATCTTTTTAGTTCACAGTTTTAGTGCAAAAGTAGAACACAGGCTTTAACTATTCTTGAATAAAAAGTAACATTATTTCACATTCTGTCCTGATGGATGTTGGTTACATACACACAAAATAAAAGATGCCTTTTTTCCTCACAAACTCATACTCCACTGTAAAAGATCAGATTTAACTCAGGTCAACTATATGCCATTAAAACAGAAAAGGACGTCAGACTTTCGAACTGGTCATAAAGTCTCCAAGTGAAAGTTAAATTATGTTTAATGTTAAATGTTGAATTAAATTCACTTGCGGTAATTCTACAAGCCAATGTCGGCACACTGAAGGCAGATTACAATCCTGTTGATATGAAAGATCTTAGGTTTACACAGGGATTATCAGCTTGTCTGACTGGCAGTATTTAGTTATCTTTATAAAAATAAAAGTCTATAGAATATAAGGACTTCTATTACATAAAATGGCTTAGGACAGTTCTATTTCAAAGTCTGCAAATTGATGAAGCTGTAAAGAAAAATAAGAAGCAAAAAACAATCCAAAACATATCGTCAGAAGTATAAATACACCGGAATAAATACTAAAGCAATTCATGTTTATCACTTATATGTTAAAGTTTGTCATATATTTCCATTTGACTAAAGGCTATGTGGGGTCCGTTGGCTTTGTTGTAACCTATTGGCTTCAGTATCTGCTAAGATTTAAACTGAACAACAGTCACAAATGTATTTGAACTGAAAGTACTTTGATATCAACATACTTCCAAACATGCTCCACAGGACGAAAGAAAGAATATAAAAATAAATAAATAAAACAACGGTTTGGATCTATGCAGAACCAAGTGCAGGTACATACTTTCCAGAATCAGCACTACAGTACAACAACATGCATTTAAACCTGAGTTTGTTCAAAAATACACTCTAGTATGAAAAACTAATCATCAATAACTTTTTGGCCACATGTGGGTTTTGAGATGTTCATTTGGAAAAATGAACCAATACTAAGTAATTATCTAGCTCCCTCTTGTGGTCAATGCTGACATATTATTCATCCCAAAATAAAATTCAATAAATAACAACAAAACAAATCAGGCAATGTGCTAATAAAATTATATAGTACAAACTTTTAAATATGACAGTATATGTTTTATTTAAAACACTCAAAACTCACAAAGGAAGTTGTTTTTTCCACTACAAACCTCTACTTAACAATAATCCTTTAATCCACGACCTATTATAACCACCTAATAACCCTTTAAATAAATATCTGAATGGACAAAATTTTAATTACACATTAGTTGGGTGTTTTTCTCTGTATAAAAGAACATGGCTGCTTTCCCTCATTAAATCATAAGGTAATGTCCTCCTGCAGTAAAAATTTGGTAGATATTAAAAGCTTTGGGGGCAAGGTAAAGTCAGTGACTGCAATGTAAAAACATCTATTTAAAAAAAATCACAAAACAAATCTTCACCATGCCTGCTATTAAAAACAAAAACAAGGCAAAACCCAAACAACTCAGAAACATGACAAACCTGAGAAGCAGAAGCAATGAAACCCTCTATTTCATTGTTCATGCAATGTTTGAACTTTTGAATGCATTTTTTTCGTTAATGCTCTCTATCCACTGAAGGTTGTTCGATGAGTCGGCATTTGGAACTGAACACCATGGCTTTGTGGCCTTGTTCTTCCAGCAATGGAAAATTGAAATCCTGTTTGGCTCCTAGTTGGTTGACTCAAAAAACATGAAATCCTGTAGTTAAAAAGAAAAAGCAGAAAGTATCAATAAAGCAAGAAGGTAGACGATGTACGTGTAATGTCTAATTGTTGACAGATGAAAAGTAAATCATATTTTATGTTTATTTTTTTGTGCAGACACACTTTTAAAACCTAGCCTTAATATCCTAAACATGGTTTAAGTCAAGGCTTTGGGAAGGCCTCTCCAAAAGATTAACTTTTCCATATCTAACCAAAGTATTTCTCAGATAATGCCTGGTTGCACATACCAAACAAAATTTCTTCTGCAAAAAGGTTTAATGCTTAGAAACGATCACATTTTATTAGCCAGAATCAAACTACAGTGTTAACTTGCTGAAAACTACAGGTACCTTGTGGTCAAAGTGAAATTTACCCAAAACCTATTTAGATGTATATACAGGGTGCAGCCTGTATTTATAATTTTGACCCTGTGTTCATTAGAAATCTTAGATTTAATAATAAAAAACAAATTAAGTAAAGTATAAAGTTTTCTGAATAGAAATGACACTCATGTCCTTTATGGATCCATGTACACTTTTCGTCTTAGCTGTAACTCAGACAGACTGTTTTGCATTTACTGAGACTGGGTTCATTTTAGGTCATAAATAACACTAAATGCAGCCTAGGAGGTAATCTAATTAGTAGGTTGGTGAAGATTCTGAATACCAGCGACAAGAAACACATTCCTGATGAGAGTGGGGTCATGAGAGGACACGGCGTCTGCGGCAGCCAAACTCACACAGACGCTTCTCCAAAATTGCAAGATGAGAATCCCCAAACTACATACTTAACAAGATCTTAACATTAAAGGTCATAATCACCTTTCAGTTTAATTTACAGCCATAAGTATATACAAAAGAAAAGCCTTTGATGCCGCACTTACAATGAGAAAACATGCTCCGATCATTACAGCTTTCATCTTCACATCCAGATCCATGGGAAACTGGATCCCGAAGTTGTCAGCGTCTGTGAATGCCTCTCGTAGCAGACCAGTCCACTGCTTACTGATTTTCCCGATCTTACTGACTTCATCCATTGTCAAAATCTGAGGACGAGCATCCAGAACACAGAGTAGAAATTCATTGGAGGGAGATTATGGAACATGTTATGTCATTTTTTTATTTTTTTTTTATTGTGACCACAGGAATTTCACCGTTTCTGTAATTACTTTAAAGATCTGGGGGAGGAATCATGTGTGTAATATCATACTTCATTTCCCCATCTTCTGGGACTTGTATAATGTCTGCATCGCTGACCCAGATCACCCCGCCCCCCTCACAGCTCAGTCTAATAAAACTTTGTGAGCCATGCAACAAAAGCCAAACTGTACCAAAATGAGTGCATGTCCTGTTTACATGAAATTTTGCAGGGAGAAAGTCCCTGAAAGCAACACTTGTTAAAGGGGAATGTTGGAATAACTGATTCCAATGATTTAAACATACAAACCCACCTCGAAGTCAACATCAGGAAGGCAGCTCCATCCACAGAAGGGCCCGTGGATCTTTAGTACGGGCTCATTGTGTTCATTTGCCACAATAAATCTGGGAGACAAAGGATTCCACTGCTGTATCACATAACCAACCGTTTTACCGGGCGGAGCCTGGACCTCCAGCTGAAAGCAGAACATGATCGGTATTCAAACTAAGACTACAAAGCTTTTAAAATACATGCAAAAGTGTTCGACTTTTTAAATATTTTTTTAACATGATGCCTCCAAACTCAGTTTATTTTAACAGAAGTACATTTAATAGTCATTTAGGTTGCTGTCCTATGTGAAGGTAAACCTGCACCCAGGTTTAAAGTCTTTCAGTTTTTCTAACAACTTTAGTTTTTGTATTTTGCTGCAACCAGTTTCCTATCACATGGGATCAACTATCCTGTTCATGCTGAACTGCAGACACTGCCACCCTGATGCTTTTGATGCTATCAATTGATAGAATTTTCAAAGCTGATTCAAAATAAAGCCTTAAATAATGTGGGTAGAGAAAAAAAGAAGAAAAAAGTGCCCATGAAACCAGTTAATATGTTTCAGTTTATATAAAAAGATTTTATTTGGGAACAGGTAACTGGTTTGGCCGGCCCCATTTAGATTTTTAAACTGCCTGTTCTACAGCAGGTTGGGGTGGGAGTAAACAAAAGATTAAGTTCTGATAATGAAATTGTTTACATGCACTTCACATGTAAGTATTTCAAATGAGTACAAAAAAAGGTAAAAAGGATGAAGATGATGACCGTCTAGTTTAAAGTGTTTACCACACCAGCTTGAATCTTATAAAAATACAGCCAATTGGGCAGACTCCAATGTATGCAAATGATGACTTAAATAAACATTTGACTCAAACATAGGCGCTCAAATGCACAAACAATAAATCAAAAAGGTAAAATGGAGGTCTTTCTTGACCAAGCAGCAATTGCAGTTCAGCATTTACCCCATCATAGGAATACCCTCATGTGACTACTCAATAAATTCAGTTCAGTGATTGGTGGGACAGAGACTATTGTGGTGAAAATTGCAGCTCTAGGAACAGCAAAGATACTGCGGAGAACCCTCAATCTCCCAGGCCTCCAGTAGGGGACCCGAGGAAAAAAGGGAGACCGCCCACGGCGGGTGTAGAAGATGCATATAAATATACACTATATTGCCAAAAGTATTTGCTCACCTGCCTTGACTCACATATGAGCTTAAGTGACATCCCGTTCCTAATCCATAGGGTTCAATATGACGTCGGTCCACCCTTTGCAGCTAGAACAGCTTCAACTCTTCTGGGAAGGCTGTCCACAAGGTTTAGGAGTGTGTTTATGGGAATTTTTGACCATTCTTCCAGAAGCGCATTTGTGAGGTCGCACACTGATGTTGGACGAGAAGGCCTGGCTCTCAGTCTCCGCTCTAATTCATCCCAAAGGTGTTCTATCGGGTTGAGGTCAGGACTCTGTGCAGGCCAGTCAAGTTCATCCACACCAGACTCTGTCATCCATGTCTTTATGGACCTTGCTTTGTGCACTGGTGCACAGTCATGTTGGAAGAGGAAGGGGCCAGCTCCAAACTGTTCCCACAAAGTTGGGAGCATGGAATTGTCCAAAATGTCTTGGTATGCTGAAGCATTCAGAGTTCCTTTCACTGGAACTAAGGGGCCAAGCCCAGCTCCTGAAAAACAACCCCACACCATAATCCCCCCTCCACCAAACTTTACACTTGGCACAATGCAGTCAGACAAGTACCGTTCTCCTGGCAACCGCCAAACCCAGACCCGTCCATCAGATTGCCAGATGGAGAAGCGCGATTCGTCACTCCAGAGAACGCGTCTCCACTGCTCTAGAGTCCAGTGGCGGCGTGCTTTACACCACCGCATCCGACGCTTTGCATTGCACTTGGTGATGTATGGCTTGGATGCAGCTGCTCGCCCATGGAAACCCATTCCATGAAGCTCTCTGCGCACTGTTCTTGAGCTAATCTGAAGGCCACATGAAGTTTGGAGGTCTGTAGTGATTGACTCTGCAGAAAGTTGGCGACCTCTTCGCACTATGCGCGTCAGCATCCGCTGACCCCGCTCCGTCAGTTTACGTGGCCTACCACTTCGTGGCTGAGTTGCTGTCGTTCCCAAACACTTCCATTTTCTTATAATACAGCTGACAGTTGACTGTGGAATATTTAGGAGCGAGGAAATTTCACGACTGGATTTGTTGCACAGGTGGCATCCTATCACAGTTCCACGCTGGAATTCACTGAGCTCCTGAGAGCGACCCATTCTTTCACAAATGTTTGTAAAAACAGTCTGCATGCCTAGGTGCTTGAATTTATACACCTGTGGCCATGGAAGTGATTGGAACACCTGATTCCAATAATTTGGATGGGTGAGCAAATACTTTTGGCAATATAGTGTATATATATAGCATTTTATCATCTGATATTATTCACTTTTATTCTCTTGATTTTCATTCCCCTGTGCCTCCACAGCGTGCTTTTTCTTTTTCCCCTCATGTACTGCATTTTTCTTGCCACTGAAATGTGCTATATACAATAAACTTGCCTTTCCTTTACTTGCTCTTGTTTTATCACCTCAGGAAAATTGCTGAGTTCACTTGTGGTGCCGGCTGAACTAAATTGATGTAGACACATTGATTTTATCCAGGATAAACTCACCTGTCTTTACTAAACTTCTTTGCATCGGTTGCTGGTGATTTTTAAAATGCTTGTGCTTGGCTTTTTACCTAGTTGTTTTAAAACATTAATGTTACTCCATTACTTTGACTGCTTCATTAGCTGCTCATTAATTCCAGAATTTACTTAGAAATCCTGGTTTCCATAGGGATTTACAGTACATGGACAAGCAGCAGCTTAAGTCATTAAGCTTTTAAATCTTTATTACACCATTTAGATCTCTGAGATCCAGTAAGTGAAGCCGATTGGTTGTGCTGCAAATAAGAAAATAGACTATCCCCCTGAGCCTGATACATATGTACTTAATGTACTTATTTAATGTGGACTTTACATAAGGTCCTGTGCATTATTTGGTTAGCCTGGGATTTCTTTTTCTTGCTCATTTCTTACCCTTGTAATAAATATTTTTTTTTTCCTGAATGTTATATCTGTTAATGTACAGTTCTGCTTTGTGTATTGTGCCATACTGTGAGGGTGTTGGGTCTATCACATAAAACCCTAATACAGTTAATTGAAGTTATAATTACATAAAAAATGTGAAAAAATGGATGTGAATATTGTGCAAAGGTGTGCAAATAACCTTATTTCTATGACACAGTGTCCAAATAATTGAACTCACTTCTTGTAAACAGCAGGGGAAGAAGCAGGACATGCACTTTAACGGCCTGGTGACACTGATGATCTCCTGGCCAAAGTTGTCGAGAACGTGAATGCTGAAGGGGCGCAGGGGTCCGCAGCATTGCCGGCTCAAGCAGTCGTTCTCCTCCACGGCGTAGAACACATTCTGGCCCATGACATTTCGCAACTCGTACTTGTTATTGCTTTCGAAACCCATGAGAGCTGTGTGAATCAAGGCCTACAACGTAAGCTGTTGCAAAAAAACATAAAAAAAGGAAAATACTCTTTCCACATACTGTACCTTCAACGACCTCAACCTTTTGTTTGATGAGGAGCTGATCCACCTAGAAAACAACAAACAGTCAATCAAACACTTTAACTTCTAGTTGTTAGATGCACAAAGTATAATGAGAAACAGGGGATGGGAGTTTGTCATTGTTTTTTTGGGGTGGTAAGAAGAGGAGATAGAGATCAATCTCCTAAGTGGATTAATTTCCACCGTTATGCTGATGATACTCAGCTATAGCTGTCTATAAGTCCAGATGAAGCTAACCCATTACTTAGATTACAGGCATGTCTTGAAGGCATAAAAAACTGGATGACTCTTAACTTTCTGCCTCTGAATGCAGACAAAACATAAGCTATAGTCTTTGGACCAGCGTCTTTGAAAAAGAAGCTGATTAGTCAGTCACTTCATTTGGATGGGATTAAACTGATTCCAGATAATAAAGTAAAAAAATCTTGGTGTTGTTTTTGATCAGAACCTGCATCTAAATCCCATCTCAAAGAGGTTTCTATAATTTCCTTCTTTCATCTGCAGAATATTGCAAAAATTAGAAAAATCCTGTCCAGGGGTGTTGCTCAGAAACTAGTCCGTGCATTTGTTACTTCAAGGCTAGTTCAATCTCTAACGTTCTGCTATCTCTGTCTTTTTTCATAGTAGCTTTGTCTCGTCTGTTCCTGTTCGGCTGTGACATCATCCAGGAGAAAAATATCAGCTGTGCTGCAGCCATCAACTCCTTTGTTTATAGATGTTGGAGATTGGCCTGTTTTTCCAGTGTCCTGTTTCTCTGACAGTGACTGGCTGGATGTGCTGTCTTCATCCTCTGACATAGTTGGCTCAGGGCTCGTCTGGCTGTGTGTTTCCTGGACGGGGCCGCCTTTTACAGCTGCTTTTTTTATCTCTGCTTCTGTCTCCTTGAACCCCAGTCGGCCTCGGCAGATGGCCGCTCACACTGAGCCTGGTTCTGCTGGAGGTTTCTTCCTGTTAAAAGGGAGTTTTTCCTCTCCACTGTCGCTACAAGCATGCTTAATGTAAGGGATTGCATCCGAGTCAATGAGTCGATGGAATCAACTGGTTTTCCTTAGATAGAAAACTTTGAATCAATTTGACTGTATGATCTGGTTGAACTGTAAAGTGCCTTGAGATGACTTGTGATTTGAATTGGCGCTATATAAATAAACTGAATTGAATTGAATAGTATATAGCCCTGATGCCTGGAGAATTTGGCATTCATTCATTTCTGACATTATGATTAACCTCATTTTGAGGTAAATACTGATAAACAAATGTTAGAAATACTGTAAAGTGGCCTGTTTTATATTAGCAGCTGCTGCAACTGTCCCCCTTTTCCGCCGCCCTAAATCCTCATTTGGTAGTTAATTGATGGGCTTGATATAGGCCAAGCACATTAGCTAAAATAAAAATTAATCTAACCCTGTTTAAATCATTTGAGTTCATTCATTTCTAAAAAAAAAAAAAAAAAAAAAGGAACAGAAATATAACAAAAAACAAGGTCTAAGCAAACAAATATAATACCCTAAAATATTATCTGCATGCTTTTTCTTGTCAAGAGTGTACATCACATATGCAGTATAGGTTGTTTCATATTGGATGAAAGTTAGATATCCTAACCATCCCCTGTTAGAACTGTCCCACCTGGATGACTACTTAGGAGCAATAAAAAAATATTAAATATAATATAATAAATATATATAAATATAATAAACAAATAATTAGGTATAGTAATGAATCAATAGGATATAGAATATTTACAATTTAAACTGAAAATAAATAAGTTTAGGTCTCAATCTCTCTCTCTCTCTATATATATATATATATATATATATATATATATATATATATATATATATATATATATATATATATATATATTGTTTGTTTGTTTGTTTGTTAGATGCACTTTGACATGTTTATACCTGTGTCAGGTACTCTAATCCTGGGGGACATCCTGGTATTCCTGGGCTGGGCACAGCGTACATATTCATCTCTTCAGGATGCTGGGAGACCTGTTGATGAGGAGGAAACTGTTTCAAAACAGCGAACTGGCACCATCTTGTGCTTATTTAGGTCACAGTCAGAAAGGAATCCTACACCACTGAAGCAATCAAAAGGCGATATTATAAACCTCATCTTTAAATTAAACATCTTAATATTAACATACTATCAGGAAGGGAGTTCCCTATCAAATCAGCTGTCTCCTCCAGGGGGATCTCAGTGCTGCGGTTCTCCGTGCTGGTGGGCGACAAATCCATCCCTGGTTATATTTGGAAATGAATGTTTCCAGGTTCACAGTGGCAGCGTCTGAAATGTTCCTACTTTACCAAGTTTAAACGCAAACAACAGATCTTAACGTGAGGAATAAAGTACGCCAACTGTGACCCTCCCGTGTTTAGGTTACATCAGTGGCGATCTCGGAGGCGAATCGTGTTTCACCATGCTTCTCTCCACAAATGTCTAGTCAGCTGGGTAGGGAGGGGGGGGGGGACGCACACCGACATCTCGTCTACCCACCTCTTCATCCAAACACTAGTAAATAATGATCCATAACTCGCTCATCCCACGCGTGTGATCCCGTGATTGACACCCCACTTAGTAAAAGAGAAATATAAGATGAGAATCAAAAACACTTACCGATTTTTAGCTTGCTACTTCCAATAATAACGGGCCGCTCAGAATGGAAGCAAAGCCGTGGAATAAACCTCTAATCTGATTGGACAACGTCACCACATTTCCTACTTCTCTCCGCCAATGAGATAGCAGTTCTGTTAAAAGACACAGAAGCAGAATAGACTGGATCTGAATTAGCCCGTCTCTTAGGTTATAAAGTCTTATCTATTTAAACTCTTAATCAAAACAATATTAGTTTGGGTTTGTAGTCTATAAAAAAAGGACTACAAAATGGACTTTTTTGATCTTATGTGTTGTTCAATTACAACATTTTGTATTGTAGCCAACCAAGGAATCAAAATGTACATTTCTGTTTGTGAAATATACAACTAAAACCATCCTTTCACATGCTGCATAATTACCCTTGTATCTAAATGAAAAAAAAAAAAAAGAAAGAAATTTTGTAAATTGTTGTTGTTTTTTAGTATCTGACATTTTTAAAGTGGATATGATCCTCCTAGAAATTGTTAGAAAAGCTTCTTAATTTGTATGATTTTTAACAAATGGTTTGGGAAGCCTTGCAAAAGCTTCTTAGAGGGCACTCTAGAATTGTATTAAATTCATTAATTATTAACATTAAATTTGGCCTGCAAAGATATTCCTATCCATATGGCACACATAGGCTCAGGTTTTAATAAGGCTCAGGCTTAATTATTCATTTCATTCACCTGTCTAACCCTGCCTGGTTTCTTATTACTCATCTGATCCACTTGCACCTCCCTCTATTTAAACTGCTTGCTCCTAATCATCGAAGCCAGATTATTTCTCTCCAGCCTGTGTTGAGAGTGTTTTTTATCTTACCTTAGTGCAGTGCTGTTTTCGTCAAAGATGACGATTACGAAATAATTTAGTTGACGCTCCCTTTTTTTCATGATGATAACGAAAACTGACGAGATAAACATAGATCTTTGATGATTAAAACATTAACAGTCATAGGTTTGAGTTTTTGTCAACATGACAAGACTAAACAAAAATTAGCAGGTGGTTGGTGAGACATTTAAAATGCATAATTTTGCTGTAATTTGTTAGAAAGACTAAGCAGTATCAGCCGTGCTTCTCTATCCTTTTTGGTCAAGCCCACCACCTGGCATGCAGCAGTGTACATTCTGCATGACCACAGATGGATCATGGCAGCGGTGGCAGGGGAGAAAATAATACGGAATGCTCCGGTACTGTGTGCTGAATTCTGAAAAACTTGTATCTTCCAGCTGTGCTTGTGGAAAAATGCTTCTTTGTACACGTGTAGTTCAGAGTCCGTGCTTTATGCTCCACACTGATGGTTCGCTGTCAGCAGTATTTCTCCACCTGCTTTCGCTACTTAATAAACTATTTGGCTAATCATCCTTTGCCAAGCATAAAAAATCCCTTTGTAAAATTGTAAATTCTGTAATTTCTACCAAATGGAATCCCTAAGTTATACCCAAAGAAAAGATTTAATTGCATACTATTTATTGTTGGTTAAGGCCCAGATGAAATGATTTGTAGATGTTTGAACATTTCTCTTTCATTGTTCTTGTTCTATCTATTTAAATAAAATATATTGTTTCCTTGTATTGTCCATCCATCCATTTTCCATCACACTTATCCCAAGCAGGGTTGCGAGGGGTGCTGATGCCTATCTCCAGCTGTCTACGCGTGAGAGGCAGGGTACCCTGGACAGGGTTGCCAGTCCGTCGCAGGGCAACACAGAGACAAACAGGACAAACAACCGCTGTCCCACTGAGCAGCCTTCATTGTATTGTCATCAAAACACTTTATATGTTTCCTTTGAATATGGACTTATGAGTCTGCCAGTTCCTGTTCTGATCTCTTTGCCTGACTTGGCTTCAGACTCCTGCTACTTTTCCAGGGCTGCAGCATCTATAAACACTCATAATAAACACTTTTTGAATAATCCTACTGTCTGTTTCACCTGGAATACTAGGTAATCTGTTCTGAGTCATGACACCATCAGCCCTATAGAAATAGACATATGGAGGAACACAATACACTTGCCATTTCTGTCATGATGGGTCTCTGTGATTAAACCCACACGCAGAACACCACAGGAAACAGAGCAAAAGTTTAACAGTTTATTTGGTAAACACACACAGGGTAAACAATTGCACTGGTTCTGGTACTGGTCCGGGACTTGGTTTCACAGAGTAATCTGCAGAGAGGGATAGTTTGGTTAGCCAGATAGCAGCGATATCTTGACAGAGTCTTGATTCTGATTTGTACCTGATGAAGTTCAGACTGATCGGTGGAGAGAGGGAACCGGTTGGGTCCAGAGACTGTGGATTCAGCAGAGAGCTTAGCAGCGGCAGAGTTTAGCTTCAGGCTAGCGAGGATCAGACCTTGAGTTGTTCTCCTAGTTCTCTCCTGAGAACTCACTGGGAGATACAGACTGAGGATCTTCAGGTTTGGCTTCTCTGGGCAGGCAGGCAGGTTTCCAAACATGAGCTCATCCAGAGCTACAGACTTCAATCAGGTTTTCTTATGAAGCAGAGAAGACAGAGACTGGTTAGGATCAGGGTTACTCTCCAGAGCAGACAGAGATTCTAAGTTCAGACTGAGGCTCAGGTTCTGCTAACCAAAACTGGTCAACACTCCGGCGCTGAAGAGAAGTCAAGTGTGCTTATATAGTTGGTCTCCTGATCAGATGAATCAGCCTCAGGTGTGCAGGTGGCTTCAGCTCAGGAGACCCAGGGCGCTCTCTGCTGGAGAAAGGTGGCAGATCTCCGGATCCCAACAATTTCAGGACAGAGCACATCTGTTACAACAGAACTGAGTAACACAACCAGCATTAAGAGGTTTACAGAGTGTCATAGCTTTACCAAGATGTTCCAAGTATCAACAAACAACCCAGCAAGATGCCCAAACAAAGAGAATCGCTCCATCCACATGGGGTGGTTTAAATAAGAGCAGCTCTCCCTTGATTGGTGGGATCAGGCCAGCATTCAATCCAGATGGGGACAGTCTTGCAACAGGAAGTAGAAGATCAAGGAAACTGGAAGTGACACAGCAGGGCTGTGGATTCCAACAGCAGTGCAAATCAGCAGGAAGCTCCAACTGCATCTGCAAACACACCCTGAGAAAAAGAAAACCTACACAGAAAAAGACAAGGCCACTGAACAATAACAGTGGTTAAGAAAAATGCTTTTTACAAAATCTATTATAAGTTAAAAGACATAATTGGAACATAAAAATCAACTATTGCACAATCATGTGAGTTGAAGAATTTTTCCCGCACACATAGGCAGTAACTTGGGACAAATCTGGGTTGGGTTTTCTCTGCTAATTGCACAATGAGGGCCAGAACCTTGACTATGAGAACTTAACAGAACCAACGAGGAACCAGGAAGGAGGGCATGAAACAAAACCAAAAAATAAAAAAACAGAGTCCAAAAAAAAAAAACAACCCACCAAAGGTGGGCAAGGGCAACCAAACGTTTCTTGAGGTCGGCCATGAGGCCGAAGATGAGGCAGAGCCTCTGAAGGCCAGCCGTGAGGCCCAGGGACGAGACAGATTCCCTGGACGGCGGCCGTCAGGCCAGAGCCAAGGCAGAGTGCCTGGTGGACAGCCTTGAGACCGGCGCCAGAAGGGGGCCTCTGGAAGGTGGCTGTGAGGTTGGGGTCTCTGCAGCAGGAGCCTTGGGGGACGTTGTCTCTGCTGCAGGAGCCTTTGGGACCACCGTCTGCGGCTTAGGAACCTTGGTGGCTGCTGACTGCGGCTCAGGAACCTACAAAGAGGTGTGGAGGGCTGGATGAGTGGCCTTGGAGGCATGGAGGGCAGGCTGAGGGGCCAAGGAGGTTTCACCACCTTGGACCTCTTAGAGTTCTCAGTCTTGCTCTCTGGAAGGCACAAAGCTTGCTCGCAAAGAGGTTCTGTCTGAGGAGGAGCACTAAGTGGATCTGTCTGAGCAGGTGCGCTAAGTGGATCTGTCTGAAGAGGAACGCTAAGTAGATCTGTCAAATAGGTTCTAGTTCGGGGACTGACATGCTTAGGGATTCTGGCTTGGGGAGTGGCCCGCTAAAGAGCTCTGGCTCAGGTTCTGGGCTGCTAAAGGGCTCTAGCTCGGGATCTGGCCCGCTAATCAGCTCTGGCTCGGGTTCTGGCACACTAATGGCTCTGGCTCGGGTTCTGGTCCGCTAATGGGCTCTGGCTCGGGATCTGGCCGCTAAAGGGCTCTAGCTCAGGATCTGGCACACTAAAGGGCTCTGTCTGGCTAATGGGAAGTGCTTGCTGGCCTCCGATTTTGGCCAGCGTCTCCCAGAGCAGCTGAGTTTGCGGTCCCTCAGTCGGATCAGCCATTAGCTAGATCCCTTTGACTACACGGAGCTTGAATATCCATTATCCAACTTCTAAACAAGTTCACCATTGTATGATTATGCATGACAGCTTT